GTGATCAAATAACCGAATAACAAACTAAATCTTCATAAATCACTTCAAAACAAACTTTTTCAAATATTCTAACGAATAAATTCATCTCAAACTAAATTATACGTACACACAACTTGACTCCTTTTAGAGTGGAATTATTCCGTTTAAAATCCATTCGTAAACGATCAAAAAATATTAAAATAAGAATAACTAATGACCTGTAACTGTTTCGGTTGTTTCAACGCAGTCTTGAACAGATCATCACTTGCCAGTTTTGTTCGTTGCACCGAAAAATCAATCCGTGGTCCCATTTCAATCAATTCAATTCGTGGCAAAAGAGTTGCCGACTTCTTGAGGCATACTCTGAACAGGAATAAAGTAATCATATAACATATAAAAATGATAATATGACAACGTTCAAAAGTAATACTAAGAAACGATGATACCAGCATTTAACAACAATGCAACTGAAAATGGTGATGGATCAATTAAGAATACGCAAACAAAAACAATGTTTTGAAAATTTCACCGATATGTTCTTAATAATAATTTCTCCTTGACGACTGTAATCGAAATGACCATCTCAAGACCCTGCAAGCGAATCTTCTCCACTGTCGGTCCCCTGAACCAATCCACTAATAGATTTCCAATTCGCTTCATTTTCTCATCGGTTTCGAACTCGGTTCCTTGCAATATCAGACACGGTTTTGTTCCAAACATCGCTTTCGCTGTCTTAAATTATCACAATATTATAATCACCAAAATCAAATTATTGCTATTACAATAATAACAATAATAATAATAAAATGAACCAACGTCTAACCTTAAATTCACTGCCTCGCACTAAATTCTCAACCCTCAATTCGGCCATATCCAGTACATGATAATCGTACATTCGACCGAATAGAATACTGTTTGGGTGTTTCTTTGAGTTTGAACCGAACACAAACAATGACGAATCGAATTTCGATGAAAACTTCTCAATTGGTGTATCATCTTCGAATGGATGGAATGGATTACGTCTGAAACATTTTTCAGTGACAAATAAAGAAACGATCAACAACGCATCAGTCAGATCGTATATTTTGAAGTAACATCGTATTCGAAGAAACATCTTGTTAGCACATCAAAGAAGTGTTTTAGCATTCCCAACAGCACATAAAACACTCAATTTTTTTCAGTCCATTTGAAACTGATAATACTCCACATAGGATAGCTGAAAGTTCACAATTCTTTCGGAGAATTTTGCATTGACGAGTCAAACATTCGAACCGTTTCATTTGCTTTGCCAACGGTTTCTTGAGTGCAAACAACTCGGCCAGTGTATTCGTGACAATTTCATTGGTTTTTCCGCCTCGAACAATCAGAGCATTCTTATCGTTCTCCACCAGCTTCGGACTTCGTTCCTCCAATATACGCCGACCACGATGTGTTTTTGTTCTTCTGAAAAGAACAACGCTGCGGCGCTTGAACACTTGAACCGATCTCATCGGAGACATTATTGTCTATGAAGAAACAAATGAAGCTATGAAAAATCGAAAAAAAGTTCTCAGATTCTTCACAATTTTTCACTGTACAATATAAAAACCCCGTAACAACGGATTTCTCTTTTGTTCTTTCAAAGAAGACGTTTATCAAAATGAACCAAACATTTTGTGGCATGCAACAAATCCAGAAACTATTCTGTGACTATCTCCCGTCCCCTCTCAAAGAAACAAATCTTAAAAATGCACATAAACTGACGTGATGCGCCGCGGTGCCATTTTACCCACACAACGAGAAGCACTGAAAATTAAAGTAACTTGTTCATTTACAAGACAAAAAAAATCTTAAAAATTTTGAGTTTTACGACCACAATTTCGCGGTAATGTTCAACAGCTTCAGATTACAACGGACAACTCACAATAAGGTGGATTCATAAGTGCCCATAAGTGTTACGGGTTAGAATTTCGTAGTTTTGAAAGGATCGGACCCAGCATAGAGCCAATACCTCAGAAAATGTCGATAATAGATAATATTTCAAATTGCGAATGATGTATTAAGAATAAAATGCTACAGAAAATGCGTTAAATTCTATGAAACTTATGTTCACACCATCCAATTGTAAATATGCTCACTGAATAGTACACGTTAACTAAATATACCGAATGTGATTCTCTCACCTATTATTCAGATACATTTACAGTTGAAAAATGGCTGAAAAAAAAAGCTCATATCCGTTTAAAACTAAAACTCCCTCATTAAAACACAATTAATACAACAGTTAAGAATGTCGTTATTCTCCCTTCACACAAATATTTCCGTTCTCATAGTTGGTAGTATGCCAGCGCATGTAAATTTCATCTGAACATTTAACAATCCGTAATTCATAAGTGAAAGTCTAGAAGTGTGGCATGGAAACTTTACGATTTTAAGGGTGGGATTGTAAATGTGAATTTAAGATCCTGCTGAAGAGGTCTGCGAATAATTTTGAGCGTGAAGACACTCTCTAACACGCTCGTAAAACTCGATCCAGGCTCAAGAGTAAGATGTTGTTAACAAGATTTGGATGTTAGTCGCATTGCTCTAGCGGTCGGTGTTCGATAATCATTCGTGTAAACCGCAATCGAATCACAGTTCAACATTCTCAAGTGAACGTCGGGTGTCAAGATCAAGAAGATTGCTTGATCACTGTAATCACTGTACAATGAAATGATATTAAATGTCACCAGCAAAGTTACTGCTATCACAGTCCGCCAAACTAATCATCGCTCCTTATCAAATAATGCCTCCTTCATAATGACATTTGTCTAGATATGAGCCTTACATGCATGTCGTCGTATCACACTATCAATTCATATCATATCGGCAACATAACTCCATTTTGAAACAAATTTTTCGATTGTTTCATAGTTCAGTTGATCACTGATTGAATTCCACTCAATTTTTACGCTGAATCATTTCTGAATCGTTTTGTTTTTGAAACGACGATATGCGTTCAATTTAGTTTTTTGTTCACTGGATTAATACGGAAATTTAATTTGACACTAATTGTAAGCTTGAGAAAATGTTCGCGGAATTAGATTACATTTCAGTTTTTCGTTTAATGACATTTCTTTCACAAAACGACGCATTGATTATGGAGAATCGCACTGCCTCATTTCCGTTTGCATAGTTATCACAACACTAATAAATCGATGAAAGTGCTAATATTCAACAGTCGTTTGAAAGAACGTCCGAAATTTTCCACGAACGAAATCGCAAATGTGTAAAGAACCAAAATGATGAGAATAATAACGTTAAAAGAACATTATTTCATTTGAAAATATTATCTGCTTATAAGATTCATGATGACCTATAAATTGAACACGAAACGATTATTAACAATTAGGACTTGAATTGTTTTCGAATGGTAATCAGTCGTCTCAATGAGCCACATATCATAGTGATTATGAGATTAGGAGACCAAGTTGGTCCTTCGGATAAATTTGTTGTTTAGTGTGCTCTATTGACCAGTATCCATTTCATTAATTCCTTGAGAATATCATCCATATAAACATTCACTCACTGGAACTCTATTTGCCGTTTTAAAGAACAAAAATGGGCTGTTTACAGACGTTCCAGATGTCGTCACATGATCCCCACAAATATCTTCGTCTCAGTTGATTCCAGTAGCCGTGTTCGCCTATTTGCAACATTTATAGGGATCAGATCTTTAATTTACACGAATCAGACTTATTTCATTCATAGGCTTCATATCCCAGCGATTATCACCAGATTTTTAAGTGCCAAGATTTTACTTGTTTCAACATGACGCATCTGACATCGAGCTCTTTCTGATATGACAGTGATGAAATTTTTTCGTTTACGTCATACATTCGTAGAANTTATCCAATCACTAGTGAATCGGTGCAATTGCTAATGAACGAATGCCGTTTAAAAGAACGCCCCAACTTTACAACGAATGAGATTGCGAATGAACGACGTCAACTGACACGTATTGATGATGCACTCTGTAAGCATGGACAACTCCAAATCGTCAAACTTTATGATACTATCAAAGAGGTGCGATTTTGATTTCAATCGCCATATTTTCATCGGCTGCTGGTGAATTCATTGAACGGAAAATGAAACTGCGACAAACATGTTCTGAGCCTGAGCCAAGCTATGATTTGGCTTGTATCTATTATCAAATTATCTGTTATTATGACAAAGAGTAAACCGAAATGACAATTAGTCACGATAAAAACAGTAAACCATAATAGTGAATACGATAATATCGTTTTTGTCATGACTATCATATTTCAGGAGAATGACTATTTCAAAGACGTGAACGCATTATGCGAGTTCATACGGAAACGTTCGAATGTCTTTGAAATGAGTTTTAATTATGTTTCAAATCGTTGTGTTGAATATCGAATGATGTTCGGCTACTTAGTTAATTTCTTAATCAATATGGAGAACCCAAATGAACGCACGGTTAACGAAGTTACTAAAATCATTTCGCGCTGTGAAGAGGTAGATGATCGACCCAACCTATCATTCGAACTTGATTTAGCGTTTTGATGATCTGAAAATAACAATGGTAAAAGTAATGACAGTAGTGGTGATTAATTATAAAATACTATAAAATGGTAGTTCTCAAGCTCTCATGCCCCGTTACCACCTTGAATAATAAGACATACCGCCATTCACCCTCTTTCCTTGCTCTAGAACAATTCAAGTGATCGCAGTTGCGCTCTCATATGACCATGTGTCACATTTTGGTTTTAATTAAACATGGAAATAATGAAATTGGTGCATTGAGCAGGTGTTTTTCAGTTAAGAATTCATTGTTGTTATCAATGGAATAATCAAATTATTGCGATCTGAGAATTCTGAGAAAATTATTGAAGATTTAGGAAGGAAGTATGGAGAGAAATCAATCAAACCACAATTTGTCAACGTCAAAATTTCCCTTNCTTCATTCCTATGAGAATTACCTTTTTTTAGAAATGCTACAGAATATCATTTCAATTACTAAGTGTAAGATAAATTCTGATATTCAGATAGCTCAACGTGAAGTAGACTGCAAAAGTTTCGAGAAAACGAGTCTTTTCTTAAGGCGACATCCAAATTTCTTCTTCATACGATTGACAAATGAAGGAAATTTTGTGGAACTTTTAGAGTCAGGCGGTACAATTGCATCTGCATGGGAATGTGATGCACTCCCACAACATCCGAATGGAACGAGGTTCTGAAATTTGTTTCTTTTCACAGAAAATTGACAAAAACATGCCTATAAACTGTGGTCAAAGTTTCTCTTGGGCGAATTTTTACCATGCGCACTCATAATCACTAGAGTTAGATCGAGGAGTTGAATCGGATCGGGGAGAGGGGGGAGGGGGGCCCGAGGGCATAAAGCGAGATCGTGTGCTCCCAAAACCTCCAAAGTGTCTCCGAACCCTAACCTTAAGAGTCTCCGAGTCCCGAGGGTCGAATTTTAACTGATTGTGAGAGAAACGAAGCCATTTCAGATATGATCGAAGTATTCAAATGTGCGCAACAGGTCAGGTGATAAAAACGATACCAGGAAGAGACACAATTGTGATACGCATAGATAAAGGAGCGTATGCCGGTCAGGTGGTTCGTGCATCACGTCAGCACATACCGAATTGTCATTCGAATCTAGCCATAAAATACCCTTGCGGCAGATCGGTTAGTCGTTCATGCTCACAACGGTATTTCTTCACATTATTTTCAACGACTTCATATTCTAATACATGTCATAGTGCATAATATACTAAAATAATTCTAATCACTGCTATCATCCTGACTGAAAATATTCATGATCCTGTATTACGGAAGTTTACAAGCCATTATGCTACAGCGCTATTCGTTAGCGAACGAAAATGAGAACAGGGAATTTGTATCGGTAAGGGAATCAGATTAAGAAAAAGGCCAAAACAAGTGTTCTGAGCACAATCCGACTGAACAGCGTATCGAATCTGTATGGGATCTATTCCGTTACGTCGATCACTAAAGGGTCTAAACGAAGGAGAATATCTGTTCACTGTATTTCGATGTATTATTATTCCCGTTATAAGTATTACTGTCACCCCTATTTTATTATTCATTGCAATCACTATTACTATCCCCATTACTATATTAGCATATTACATCCTTATCAGTATTGTTAATTCCATTACCATCACCGTTGTTTATTATTATTTTAATATTGCTATTAATATTATGAATGTATTCATCTCGTGGTTCAATTAATACCAATTATGAATGCCGTAAATGAAACAACGCAACAAAAAACAAGATGCTAATAGAATGAATATGAGTTATTCAGAACGAACCATGAGCAGAAAGCGATGTTGGGTTACAGTGCAGTTACCTTCCTCATCATGATAACATAAGAATTTGTGATGATAACATTGATCACACCATTGAAAGTGAAAGTGTTGAGTACAGTTTGCATCAGTATTTTGAGATATAATTGATGATTACTTCATGCTTGATTGGAATTCATTTGTAATTTGTACTCATTCCTAAAGGCAACACTGTCGATCGATTCCAAAAAATTCATTCATTCGCATGTTGTTAACACTATTATTATGATTATCACTATTGATGTTATTATGAAAAATTACCAACTGCACTATGTTAAAACTGTTTAAGTGACAACAAATCAGTTACAGGTGAACGTTTGCGCATTCCGTGTCTATGGGGACGATCATTTGTGGTCAGCATGTCAACTGGAGGATGCAGATGAGTGCTATTCGAAAATTGCGAATATCTGGTGTTATTCAAAACCATGTGATCATTAAATACCACTCTAATGAAATTCACGATGCTCCATCAAAATGTCCTCACAATCAACTTAAAAAAGCGGCTTTGAAATTCCGATCCTAGAATCAAAATACTGCCATTCAAGAGAAGCGTAAATATGAAGTTCCAAGTATGAGTGTACTGTGGTGATGGCATCCGAGCGAACTTTNTTTTGCGACCGACCATCGGTCAGATGTCACCACCAATGTACAGCTGATACTAATAGTGAAACATAGGGAGGGTGAGCATGCTGAGGTGATTTCAAAATGTTCCCAACGAATACATCTTATCCACTTGATGAATATCAAATATCAATTCTTGCAGATTTAATGTCCCCAACAACTTTCTGAAAATGTTGGCAGAATGGAGCAAGGAACTATTTCAGGAACATTTCATTCGATGTTTATTTATTTATGAGTATTTTTCAAAAATAAATTGTTGCATTCATTCATATCATCTGCAACTGTGCACCTATTGTATACTCTCAAAGATTTCTTCCAACTATTGCGATGCTTATTTCTGTCTTAATTTGAGCTGTTCACTTGAATTCACTCACTTGTTTATGCATTCGCTTTTAGCGCCCATGATTTTCTGAATCACCATAAATGTCGCAAACAGAATTTTTTTCAAAATTATTCCTTTGTATGTGATAAAAGTTCGAAATGTCTCCTGATGATGGCAACTTCTTTCTCATATTTTCTGAGTATCATTAGCTCGTCTGGACCTAACAGGGTTTTCATTCGTTTTAACATGGTTTTCATTCTTTTCCTTACTGTTGCAATCGCTCTCATAGCTGATATCACCAAAACTGTTCTCTTCT